AAAAAAAAAAAAAGGTCGGCGCCTGTGGCTCAAAGGAGTAGGGTGCCGGCTCCATATGCTGGAGGTGGTGGGTTCAAACCCAGCCTCAGCTGAAAACTGCAAAAAAAAAGAACTCTGGGGGGCCAAGATGGATGGCTCACCTGAGCTCAGCAACCAGCCTGAGCAAAGCAAGAGACCAGCCTGTCTCTACTAAAAACAGAAAAGTTGGGCAGGCATGGTGGCTCACACCTGCAATCCTATCATTCTAGGAGTCCAAGGTAGGTGGGAGCTCAGGAGAGCTGAGTATAATAGACCAGCCTGAGCAAGAGTGAGACCCTGTCTCTACTAAAAATAGATAAATTAACTGGGCATTGTGGTGGGCACCTATACTCCCAGCTACTAGGGAGGCTGAGGCAGGAGGATCTCTTGAACCTTGGAATGTTGCTATGAGCTAGGCTGATGCTATGGCACTCTACCCAGAGTGACAGAATGAGACTCTGTCTCAAAAATAATAATTAAAATAAAAACAGAAAAATTAGCTGGGCATTGTGGCAAGTGCCTATAGTCCCAGCTACTCAGAAGTCTGAAACAAAAGTGTTGCTTGAGCCCAAGAGTTTGATGTTGCTGTGAGCTATGACATCACAGTTTCTACCCAGGGTTACAGAGTGAGACTCTGTCTCTAAAAGAAAGAAAATTTCCAAAAGTGCTCAAAAATGTTGTTGAACTTGGTAGATTAAACTGGACTTAAAGAGAACATAAAAATCACATCTACCATGAATCAGCTGTCTGTTGAGGCTGGTGGTCAGACTGAGAGGTGAAAGGGCCACAGAGGTGTCCCTGTGGGCCCTACCTAGAGAAAGACTGAGGACTCGAGATCCTAAGTATGGATTCCTAGGATTTGGGGAGAAAAAAAGAGAGCCTTTGAACAACCTCCTAAAAATTACAAAGGAAGTTGCAGCAGTGGGTCTCTGAGAACAAGACGGAACAGTTCTGGGTTTGCTGAGACTGACGTACTATTTTCTCTAAAATCTCACCCAGGTCATCAGGTGGGGCCAGTAGGCTATGCTCCCTTCACTCGCTTTCCTATCACCACTTTAACATGCTAGGGGTTAAAATTGTGGGTTTGGGAAGGCTTTTCTTTCCTCCTCACCTATGAAACTTAGTAGAAAGAGGGAAGATAGAGGTTAAAATCTTAGAGTAGTTCAGACTCAAAAAGCATATCCTTCAATGCCAGGGGTAGCAGAGTGGAAAGAATCCAGCCTCACAGAGGCATTTCAAAATGCCAGAGCTTTTGGCTTGGCACCTGTAGCTCAGCGGCTAGTGCACCAGCCACATACACCAGAGCTAGCAGGTTGAATCCAGCCTGGGCCTGCTAAACAACAACTACAGCCAAAATAGCCAGGCATTGTGGCAGGCACCTGTAGTCCCAGTTACTTGGGAGGATGAGGCAAGAGAATCACTTAAGCCCAGGAGTTTGAGTGTGCTGTAAGCTGTGATGCCACAGCACTCTACTGAGGGCAACAAAATGATACTCTTATCTCAAAAACAAAACAAAACAAAACAAAACTACCAGAGCTTTCCCTGTGGTGGGGTGTGTGTGTGTTGGGGGGGTGATGCATCACTTTATATCCTGATCCCTGAGCAGGGCTTGCTCTAGAGAACCTGAGAAACTGGCACAGGTAGGCTGCACCACTTGCAGGGAACAGCCTACCTTTAAACAAGACGGCAAATCATTATGGTTTCTGATTTGGGCAAGTGAAACTCAGGGACTTTCATCTGCTCTCACTGGTGCTTTAGGAAATGGTGCCGATCACACTCATGGCCGTTGCAATGCATTCTGAGAATACAAGCACCTGTTTAAGACTTTCCCCAACTAAACTACTAGTGCCAGACATTTATGGGTCCTAAGATGGGGCCAACAAGTTATGTTTTCTGCAGGACCTGGCCATGGGCACAGATGCCGAGGGAGAGAAGATTAAGGACCCCATGCGAGCCATCGTCCCCATTCTGCTGGATGCCAATGTCAGCACTTATGACAAAATCCGCATCATTCTTCTCTACATCTTTTTAAAGAATGGTAGGAATGTGGGACCTGGGGGAGGGCATAGGCCCTGCCCTCTCTTGGCAAAAAAGAGATAGCTAAGAAAGAAAACGAAGTGGAAAAGTCACTTAAAAGATGTAGATAGGGGAAGGAAGAGAATATCTAGGGGTCTATGTTTTGAGAAATGCACAGTAAATCAGTTGAAACTAGAGGCTGAATATTCCCCAGTTGTGCTACAGTTAATATGAATAGATGGTATGGAACCTAAGGAAGAGGAAAGGCAGGGAGAGAAGGGAGAGCTGGGTGGCTTTGTGGCCAGATTATTCAAGCTGTACCCACCAGGTAGGTATTTGCATCACATTTGTAATCTCTGCCTTTAAAGAACTGATGTTTACCCAGGTCATAGTTGCCTAGATGAGTCCATTGTGGAAAAGATGGATAATAAGACTCTCTAATTTGGGAGAGGGCAGGGACTGCTAAGAAGGCCTATGCTGAGGTTGAGTCTTGGAAGGGCAGTTGCTGATGGCCGTTGCTTAGGGCAGAGTGGCTCAAGTAGATTCAGAATTCTTATTTTATCCTCATCTTACAGTAAAGCTGATGAGGGAGACAGGTGAATTCCACTAGCCCTGAGAAGGAGAAAGGACATACCATCCAGTCCCAAGGGCCTTGCCCTGCTGCCCAGTGTACATGTGCTGACCGGGTGTCTTGTACCCCCAGGTATCACCGAGGAAAACCTGAACAAGCTGATCCAGCATGCCCAGATCCCCCCAGAGGACAGTGAGATCATCACCAACATGGCTCACCTCGGGGTGCCCATTGTCACAGATGTAAGAAACCAGCTCTGCGTGCAGGGTGGCAGGAGGGAGGCTAGCAGGTCCTATCTACTTCTGGACTGACCATATATGGTGTCTTGTGATACACGCGTATACCTACCTACAACATCAAAAAAGAGAAAACCAAATTAGAGTGTAGAAGTGTAAAGGTGTAAATAAAGTAGATACAAAGTCAGGAGCTAAGACATGCATACCAGGGGGTCACTCACAGTCATTAAAGCTGAGCTGTGGTGCGGTGGCTCACTCCTGTAATCCTAGCACTCTGGGAGGCTGAGGTGGGTAGAGTGTCTGAGCTCATGAGTTCAAGACCAGGCTGAGCTGGAATGAGACCTTGTCTCTAAAAAAATAGCTGGGCGGGCT